TTTAATGGGCCACACTTCATGGAGATATGTCTTTTTCTGTTTTTCAAAGAGGGTAAACGGGACTATGAATGTGCCTGTGCACTGTAATTGAATAAAAATCAAATATGACTGTGTGCACCAGGAAAAGCAAACTGCTCCCTGAGGGGTTATTTAGGTGGAAGGCAATAGAAGGCAGAAGACCTGCTCTGCTATGAGATCCTGGGAGAGATTTCCTCCACGCATTTACCAAGAGTGTTCTTCTGGAGTGGATCCATTTAAATACTGTGCAGGAATTGTTCCAACCTCTTTAGCAAGATTCATCCATCCATCCATTCATCCATCGTCAACCGCTTCTCCTGCCTTTAGGGTCTCGGGGTCTATAGCAAGATTGTACTGTAAAAATGACTCTAAAACATGTAAAACTGTACATTTAAATGTATAAACTTATGTTGACAGACTGAAATAAATGCCCTTGCGCCTTCAAGTGTTTCAAAATTTTTTTAGACGTTTTCAATAAAAGGTCAATTTTAAGACTGTAAAATAGAAGAAACTGCTTAGTTATCATACTAGATATTATAAATTGTGGGTTTCCTCTGGTGAGGAACGTTATTTTGCAATGATGGACTTGACCACACTGCAGGAAAGCAGAACAACATTAAATGCAAATTTGTTTTAAATTGTTGTTTACCCAATGATGCTGCTCCTTTTTTTTTTTTTTATCTACATCTGTTATGTCCAGTGTGGCAACACACCCACATAAACTCACAGATACAAAGTTTTTTTTATATAAGTAATCTATACCTTGTGTACTTTTCCCTCAAGTATCTACTTGAAAAACATACAGTAGGCTATATAATGAGCTTTATGTATTTATATAGAATAAACTAACAGATTAAAGCCACTGGAAGCTACAACATTAAAACAGTGATACTATACAGAAATGCATCACTCTGAAAAAGAGAAATGCCATTCTGCATCATGATTAGTTTACCTTTAAAATTTAAGAATGCTTTACTGCTCATGAATCTACTGTAATTAAACAAAATTATGACTGTGTATTTTTTCAGCTGTGGTATTGCTAAATAATCCTCCTCCCCAAAACCGAACGTATACTGCCGCTCATATTTCCACACAGGGAAAAAAAGTGGCCTACATCAATAAATGCCAGCGGTACAGTTTTAACTTGTAATAATACCTGACGGTCAGATGATCAGATGTATTTTCTAGTCATGCTGAACACTGCTGCGGTCATGTGCTACTTATTTAGGCTGCAGAGGCTCAGAAGACCAACGTGTGTTGTAAAATGAAGGCCCTGTTTTGACTAAAGGAGGCCCACACACACACCTAAAAGCACAATTAACTAGGAAGGGAAAATGTGCACATGCTCAGATCTTTTGTGCCCTCTTGTGTTGACATCCCTAAACTTATAACAATGCTCATCAATCATCCACAGCTAGGCCTAAATAAATGCAGCAAACGATATTGTTTGCGTCCCAACAAACAATATCCATTTCTTTTTCAAGTCAGACACGTGTAGGTACGTTAGAGCAATTCCGTAGGTCTATGGGATAAATTGACCCAATATACCCATTTACCTAAGAGATTGGGCTTTTAGTGGCTCTAAATTTCCTATATCACCATTTTATTTATTATAGACCTAGGCTACTACTTTATTTTAATTTTCTTCGTTCTGATGATAACACTAAAACGCCAAAATGCTGCTATTATTATTGTATAATTTGTTGTATTGTGTAAATGATATTTAGAATAGTCCTATAGAATAAATAAATTTATTTTTGTATACATTTCTTTGACTTTATACTGCGCTTCAGTTCCTACAAATCGTTCACTTATGTCAAGTCTTAAATTTCGTAAACAAAAACAAGAATAGTCAATTAATCACGTTTTTATTCCAAAAGAACTGTAAAATATCAGTTATTCAAAAACATTTGCTTCTAGCAAGCACATAGTTGGCTAAATATAGTGGCCTGTTTGCAAGAGTAGGCCATCATTCAAACCTGTAGTATTAGAATGTACCATGGCTTTATTTATTCTCAGGCCGAGAGGAAGACGATTCAGTTCACCTCACCGTAAGTTCACCACAGGCGGACAGCATTAGGCGACATTAAATTAAATTAGATGAAACTTTTATGATCCCAGTGGGGAAATTGGACAGCTGAGAAACAGCGTAGCTGGGAATCATTCCGTGCAGCGAGACAGCAGGCATGAGCGAGGAGTTTGGAGCCAAAGATGGGACGGCGGCGCAGCGTCCCGGGTCGAAATGTTCAAAAGTCAGACAAGGGAAATTCTTGGAGAGGAGCGAGGAGAGCGCAGGTATGATGCTGCTTACAGGCGGGATACTGGGACTATTGTGGGAGCTTAAACGACTTCTTATGCCCAGGTCGTGGTACAAATCAGGACCCTGGAGACCAGAACCCATCCTGTGCGCTCCGAGCAGAGGGAAAACGGGCAGCAGGCTGCGCTCCAGCGCCCTGGACTCCTTCAACGCTCCCAAATAGAAATGCTGCCTCTTGAAGCGTTTCCTCCGCCGAAGAAAACTCCCGTTTTCAAACATATCGGCCGACATGGGATCCAGGGTCCAATAATTTCCTTTGCCAGGGTTCCCAGGCTCGCGGGGCATTTTCACAAAGCAGTCATTTAGAGACAGGTTGTGTCGGATTGAGTTTTGCCACGCAGGGAACTTCTCCCGGTAATACGCAAAGCGCTGGCTGATAAAATCGCATATCTCACTGAGGGTGAGTCTCTTTTTTGGGCTCTGGAGGATGGCCATGGTGATGAGTGCGATGTAAGAGTATGGGGGCTTCACCGAGGCGGCTCTCCTGCCTGGACCGTCCCGTACCCGGTCTGCAAAGTCTCCCTCCTCCCGGACTTCAGGAGTGTAGGATGAAGCGTTTTGCTCGAAGTCGGCATTCTCCTTACTCAACACTGACAACCCTGTGTTCTTCGCATCTGCACCACAGTCTGCCTGTCCCTCCACGTCAATGTCAGTGTCCTCCATGAGTTTGCTGTCCAAGGTCATGGTCCAGAGTGTCCGGTGGCAGGGCGGCCCCAACAGGCGAGATTAGCGCCTGTCGCAGACCCCCTTCTCCTCTTTCATTCACAAAAAGCTGACTGCATCTTTGACTTTTTAGCCTCCCAATCTAAACTTTCTCCTCCTCCTTTTGCAGACAGTCCGTCTTCATCAAACAACAGCAGATTCAAACCTGAAGCAATGAGCTCTGAATGAAAGCTGGAGCTTCAGATTAGGAATGCTCTTTCCTATGCTAGATTCATTTATATTATAGGTATGCTGTACTTCATTTATTTTTAATTGAAGCCTACCGGCTCAGTTTATTGGCTCAAAAATGATTCCCACTGAATAGTATTTAGATGAGCTACCAATAACACACTGTACAAATACATAAGAATTAAGCCCTATTCAAAATCTTAAGTGCAAAAGCAAAATAAGAGATCATTATGCAGGTGGCCCCTCAACAGTCTGTTTCCAGTAATATAATATTATTGGATTATTCATGCTTTGAATGAATGAATTTGTGAGCAGATTTTTAATGCTGTAGTTGGTCAATGTGGATCCACTTTTATATACCACTGGGTAGTTAAATGTATAGCAATTAATCATATTTTGAAAGCTGATCCTGTTTTGTCCGGGGGAAAAAAAACATAATCCGCAAAGTATTGTAGCTGACAAATACATGGAATCGAAAAAAAGTACATTTGCCATTGAAACATTTGAGACGATACTCAAACTACTGCAAAATGGTACTTAAGTAGTTGAGTAAATGTTACCCTCCGGCACTGTTCATTATGTTACATGTTGATGTTTAAATGACCCCAGCAGGTGAGACTTTTTGGACTGAAATAAGCGGAATGTAAAAATGAAGCAAGCACATTCATTTTATTGAGCTCGTTTCTATCTTTTATGTTCTTGGCTTGAGCAACGCTCATTTCCTTCAGCGTTCCTCATCACCGGATGGTTTGGCACATTGTGAGACAGGCAACTCTCTCTCCCTCTCTCTAGCTGGCTGTTTCAAATAAGAGGAAGACGTAATGCATTTTGAAATAATAGCTGCACTGTATCAATTCGTGTGAGGCCACCCACTTGGCGAACGGGCCTGTACTGCAGGGTGGGCCGAGGAAACTGTGGGAAGTCTCATTAATGAACAATTCTTCCCTATACCTCTCCATACAGTTAGTTTAACGCGATGTGTACCCCTCTGAAACTATTATCCTATATAGTCACTGCATTTTTTGTAGGGGATTTATATCAAGTGCAGGCCTTACTTTTGTATCTAAAAAAGAACCAGAAAACAAATTGGATGTTTTATACTGAATTTAATACAGACCCAAACCCATGTAAGCTCACACACACACACACACACACACACACACACCCCCCCCCTTCTCACAGAAAACAGCAATGCAAAAGAAAATCAGTGCACCAATTAAACCAACAACCACAAATAAACAATGAGAAAACAGCCCCCCCCCAAAAAACAGCCCCCCCCCAAAAAACAACCACAGTTACAAACAATGACAACAAAATAAATACCTTCATTGAACTTGTCCAAATAAATGTGTAGCTACTGAACTTAGCAGAAAGTCTCGCTGTCAAGGTCAAGAGAAGCAAACTGTTTCGCAGTTAATAACAGTGAACACAGCGCCGAGCTCAGGTTGCCGTTTTTGGTCCTGTACAGAAATAACTTTCTATTGCAGCCATCTGGCACTGCGGACCATTATACACAAGCAACACCGAAGCTATTTAGAGGAAAATGTCAACAATTATGACTAAACTCTCTGAATGTCTACTTCTTATAGTAGCTCTTCAGTATGCTATTCATGTGTGCAAAAGATTGTATCCCTCTTTAGAGGAAAACAACTGAGTAAGATCTGTCACACACGCTACGTGCAGGTTAGCAGGCAGCACAAAGAGGATCAGAGCAGCAAAGATTACAGTACAGATCGTTTTTCAGACATTGTCATCCATAAGTGTTTTACAAGGATTTTCCTATCTGGGTTTTCTTTAACCATTTGTTTTTTTTCCTGGTGTATACAGCATCAAGGGAATTAATGCTACTGCTGGAGGTACAACATTGTAGCAGTGAAACTAATATAAATACTCTGAGTCAAGTAATATGTAAAAAGCTGGTTCTGCTCCTCCATGTTTGCATCCACATCTGAAGTGAATGTTAGAGCACTAAGAACTAAGGGAGCACAGAGTGTAATAGAACTGTTGTGTGCAAGTGTGTGTGGAGAGCGTTGTCGCATGTGGACATAAAAACCTTTTGCTCTATGCATGTTCCCTAGGTGGTGTGTTTCCGCTGAGCTGAGGTCAGCCTCACGAAGTTTCCACACTTGAGGCAGCATGAGTTGGAGTTGCCCTCTTTCCTAGGGATATGCCAGCAGTTGACACAGCGCACTCTGTACTTCTTATACCTTCAAAAGTCAAGACAAAAAAAAACACACAAATAAAAAGCATACAGTGGTGATTAAACTCCTTTCTTTTTAAAACTGAGCTATCATAATAGATACTTTTTGTCCAGTCTTCAGAAACAGTTGGTATTTATCTACGACATGTCCCTGTTCAGGATCACTGCAACACTGATTCAGCATTGTCTCCATTTTCAGAAGCAAATATGTGTTTGTCTGCAGGCTAAGATTATGAAACAGACAACATAAGGAAATCAACACATTAACACCGAGTGCTTCATATAGTCATCCTCTGCTGCAAATGTGCAGCATGTGTCTCATATGAGCAGTAAAGTTTGTGTAACATATATTGAGACTTCTGTGAGTACACACTATTAATTTACTTTAGTACACCTCTGCAAGATCTTTTGACACTTTCACAAATACAACTGAAGAAACTGAAGGAGTAAATTTGGACTTCCACTAATGAAAACCAATGGTACCAATAAGCCAACAGCAGAGCTGTTTGAGTGTTGCACTTTAAACCTTTAGTGGATTTCAGCATGTGGCTGTCCATGAGTCTGTAGTTAGTAATTTTATAGAGTTGTTTGTATTAGTCTGTGGACTATCGTTACTGATAATTGTTCATTGTTATAAATATATATAAAATATTCTGAAAAATATGACAGGAAAACCAAACAACTGGATAAAATGATATACAGTCAACAGCTGTCTAAGCCTATATGTTACACGTACAGAATTACATTTTGAAACTAGTTTTCCACAAACTATAATTTGTCTGTAATTAATTACTTCATGGACAAATCATTGTTCATATCAATCAATCAATTCTCTGGACTAATAATTATGGACCTCAATGTTACAACCAATGTGGAAAATGAAACAGTGGAAAACATATTTATGAATGTCTGCTTAAATGTAAATTTGGTTACTAAATTCCATTAAAATGAAATGTGGCTTTAGATTCCTCAAGAGATCTAATAGATCAGCCCTTATACACAGCTTCATGTGTGTTTTTATCATATTCAGCCATGTAGTGTTAATGAGTTACCTTATTCCACAAGCATTACAAAGTGGGGTCCCGTCCTCTGCATCCCTCCACATGGGGGTCTTCCTGGTGCAGCACGATGCACAGACTTTACACTCTCGTGAACAGAAAATAACTTTCAGTTTATCCTTAGTTAGTGTTAGAGTAAACAAACAAAGCAAACAAATATTTTCTGTAAGTTAACACTATATTTCAGTGATAAGATTAATTCTACAGTATGAGCTGGAGGAGTATTATATAATTTGTGATGTGATTCTATCACAACAAAAAAATACAACTGAAAGCAATAAGCAAGAAGATGTTCTAATTTGTAACAGATACAGTGTACAACTATACATTCTTATCTAAATTGAGTGTAGAAGTTCACTGTAATATCTATGTGGCATTTTCCTGTTAATCACTAACATACAGAGCAAGGCTGCATTTCTGGCTGGTGTCACAGATAAGAGTCTTGACCATCTGGTCTCTGAATGTTGGAGATACAAACTTGCTCATGTTCCTGTTTGACCAGAGGGGAAGTGTGTGCAAATTAGAAAAAATAATAAATTGTGTCAAGAGGAAAGATGCTAATCACAGCAATGGATTTTAAATGACTGGAAAGAATTTAATGCTGAGGCCGATGGAAATACAGTGACTCAAGGCACAGGTGGTAAAGCTGAAAGATGCTGTAATTTCTATTCCATTTCTTGGTCTCAAGGGAACTAGTTGATACCCATTATGGTCTTGGGATGTTTACACAACAATTTACTTAAATACTCCTCAAATGTTCACCACTTTCAAGCTGTCAAGTCACATGTTTTGATGTGGTGGTGTCCTCTAGTGGAGGAACTTATTTTTTTCCTACTCGTAATAAAGGGAGTGAGGATGGAGAGTGTTGTATGTTCTATAGATTTATAAATAAAATTGATGTGACCTGAATTTTTTTTTTTTAATATATTTATTATGAATCAGATTATCAGTTTAAATTGCAGGGGATCCGTATTGCCGTCAATAGAAAGCCTGTAAAAATGTCAACATAAACTGACAGCTTCATTGAACAGCGCTGGAGTGTACTTGAGTGTTACTCACTGGAAACACTAGTCATCGGGTCGCTCTCCTCGTCCGAGCTGCTAGCTTTAAGAAATTTCTGGGACGTCCGTGTCCTCAGCCTTGGTTTTCTTACACTCTTGCAGAGCTCTTTGCTGTGATGGGTAAACAAGCGGCAGACGCCAATAACGTGTGTGTCTGTGAATTTAACTTGCAATTTAACATGCAAAAAAATAAAACATTAATGAAACTGTCACTACCTGTACTTTGAAGTTATGAGGAGCCGACACTGTTCCCTGCTGTCGTCCAGCTCCGTGTCCATCCTGAACGTCACTCCCTGGAAGTCTGGGTCTTGGATATCAGCACTCCGGCTGGGACGAGGCTGTTTTCTAGGAGTCTTGGTTCTCCTCTGGTGGGTACACGGAAGAGAAATTTCCTCCTTTTGCACTGGCCTGGGTTCTGGTTTTGATGTTGCAGAAGGTGCAGGGTTTGTTTCATCATGGTAGCTTGAGGACTTAACTTGTGCAAAAGAACGGGATGTCTCCTCTAAGGGAGCAAGTGTACCTTCTGGTTTCAATGCTGTGATTTTGTCATCTCGTTTTGAGGTTGAGTGATGTGTCCCTGTAGTGCTAAATAAGAATGATACAGATTGTGAAGAACGCATGATGGGGCATGGAGGGGGAAGCTGGGTGTCACATGAGGGCTCTGTAGCCAAAGTAACGTTTGCATTGTGGTCTAGTGTTAGTGCAGGCTTTGACAGAGCTACACATGCATCTTCATTTGAATTAAAAGTCAGCTGGGTATTAAGGGATGCACTGTGGATGTGAGTTGTTGATAAAGCATTTTCAGAGAAGGGTACATTTAAAATATCTTGTTCAGAGGAGAAACAATCCCTAAACTCCTGGTTCCACTCAAACTGGCTGTTAACACTGTACCTGCCCTCCTTTGTTTTTGTTTTTTCAGCAGTTTGTGACTGAACACAGCAGCCCACCTTGGAATCCTTTACACGGCACTGTGGTTTAAAACTACTGGCCGTTTCTCTCACATCTTCCACAAGGCTAACACAGGCTGGGATTTCTTGTCTCTCATAGATAAGAGAAGATGGTCTCAAAGTACATTTGACATTTACACAATCACCTCCAACTCCCTGCTCTGTTCCATCTGCTGTAGCAGTCGATGCTAATGCTATTGAATGGCCTAATTTTGTGGTAGATGTTACTGGGTCTGACTCCTCTACATCACTGTGATGCAGGAGCCTCTCACACTGCAGGTTGATCATACTCAGTACTTTCCAGGGGCTGTTGCGTTCAGGATGCGAATCAACTAAAGTTGCGACCTTGCTGCTGTGACTCTCCTCCATCACTTTTTTCATCTGAATATGAGGCGACATATCAGACAAACTGTGCTGGCAGGAACTACTAGAGATTTGAAACGAATGTGCATCCTCTTCCTCTTGTTTAACTATGAAAGGACCTTGCATCGAAGTCTCATTTAGCCATGTGGAGGTTGAATTTGTGTCCAGGAAACTGCTGTGGATGGGAGACGACAGCTTGGAAACTTCTTGGAAAAGATAGAAGAGTGCTGAGTGGGAGGGATTATGTTCCATTGTGCTCTGGTTTCCTTGGATGAAGGCAGCTTGTGTCCTTGGTCCTGTGCTTATGTTGAGGCAGCGTCTGCATCATAAATACAAACAAAGAGTGTTTACATCACTCGTCTCCAACCGAGGGGTTGATTATAGATAATATAATAAACTAAAATCCAAATCCTGATGGAGGTGGAAAGTCAATATTGCTTAATATTAAGAGGTCACAAGTTAAACAGGTTGTAAACCACTATTTTAGAGGCTGAATGGGATTTCAAACATCAGCACAACATAGACTATTTCACCATTTGAGCTATATTTACATCCATGGCTCCTATAATTGAGCTAACCTACACAAGCTACCAGTGTATGCAAATAAGCTGATAATGTAGCGCTATTCCAGTGTTTAACATTTTTGTTGCCAAACTTTGGACAACCAGGGATGTTAGGCTATTGACACCATGAACTTTGGGAAAGTTTTTTGAAATAGTTCTCTTATTATAGCCTACATGGGCTAACAGGAATCATCTAGCATAGTGTAATTTATTTATTTTTGTCATTTGAAAGGCTGACTTGGTCCAGCTGGAAAATAGAATAGATAGGCAGTGTCTGCATCATAAATACAAAGAGCATTTAGATCAGTCGTCAGGGTAGCCCATTAAGAGGTTGATTACAGATAATATAATAAAATAAAATCCAAATCTTGATGTTTATTTTCAGACATTTCTCTAATGTTTGCTTTTCTGGTAAAAGATAGGAGTTTTACCTCTTCAGTCAACTAAATGCCCCCCCTTATATAAAACAGTATGTATACTCTGACTGGAGGTGGAATGTAAATATTCATATTAAGGAGGTCACAAGTTAAAAAAGTTGGGAACCACTATTCTAGAGGCTGTATGGGATTTCAAACATTGGCGCAACAGAATATTTCACCATTTGAGCTACATTTATATCCACAGCTCCTATAATTGAGCTAACCTTCATAAGTCAGTGTATGCAAATAAGCTGCAGTGTATAACATTTTTCCCCAACTGTTGACATCCAGTGATGTTAGGCTATTGGCAACATGAACTTTGGGATAGTTTTCTAAAAAAATAAAATAAAATAATTATCATAGCCTACATGGGCTAAGGGAATCATCTAGCATAGTGTAATTTTTTTGTCATTGGAAAGGCTAATTAGTTCCAGCTGTCATCTCCCTTGAAAACAGATATGACAGGAAGCCTCCTGTTTTAAGAACGAGAGGTCTTTTTTAACCAAAATGTAACTTTTTAACTCACCAGATGAAATGTAACCAAACCTCGAGCCCCCAATGGACTTTAAATGTGTTCTAGAACACAAATGTAGCACAATGTTGTAGCGTTCTAGAATAAGCGAAGGTTTTCGCGGCTATCAGAATTCGACTGTCGCGTGCGCAGAACCAGATCGCGTGCACACAACAGATGATAATGTTTATTATTCTACCTGTATTTGCTCAAATTTCTATCACTTTGAGTAATCCAAAACACGTCCACCAAAATATGATTGTCGTTTTAATCGTATACATGGAAGTCGGTGTAGTTTTTAGCAACTGATTTGATTTTGTTTTAACTCTACAGGCATCCCTAAGCATACTCCTTGTTTGCTTGTGGTTTAATGCAGATCTATCAGAGCTCACTGCAAGCAGCCCATACATTAAATGATCGCATATTCTGATCCATTGACTAATCTTTCAACTGGACCTGTATTCACACTTTTAACATGAACTCGATGATTCTTGTCTTTGTCAGTTTTTTGACATATCATGGCCTCTACAGCTAACAACACCTTTATCATTTGGACCTGAAGAGAACTCAACACAAAATGTGGTCATTCAAAATGTACAGGCCGCTCATTAACCGCCATTGCTGTACCCTACTACTGCTGATATACTCACCTTACATCTCCAGATCGACCATCTGCTAAATGAAGTGTGCCAACTTGCCGGGAACTCAAACCGCTGGAGCTGGTTGTTATGCGGTGTTTTGGACCAGCACGATTTGCGCGGGTGTTTTTGGTTTGCTAAATTAGTCTACACCTTTTGGGGAATAAACGTTTATTCCCCACACCAAACTCCAGTTTCACCTGGTAGCTGCTGCAAAGCGCTTTTTGCAACAACACAAATGACTGTTTAGCAATTTACTTGGTAAATGAAGGTTTTACCAACAATGGCCACCTGCTAATCATGCACTGAACTAGCTTTGGTTATTGGAGTTTAGATAAAACAATGGAATCATTATTGTCCCCTTTGAATCAGTAAGTGTTGAAGGTTTCTGGGTAATGAGAGCAGCATTCAAAAATAATTTTAAAACAATTTTATTGCACAATTTTAAATATTTGTAATTTCTAAGACATACTATACACAGTTCACTTGTATGTGTGCGTAAGTTTGACAAGTAAAAGGGTAGACGTGGTAAACTCATTACATGGTAACATGAAGCTCACCTGCTTCAAATCAGATATGTCTCCACCTCCAGTCTGCTCCGGATCAAATCACACGTGAACCTGATCAACTAATCAAGCCAATCACTGGCACCAGAAGTGCTTTAACTGCATTTTGTTTTACCAACACTTGAAATACAATTCACCTGAATGTTCCGTAATGTTCAGTGAATGAAATGTAGGTTTCAACAGTCTAAATTTTGATTTACTTTGTTAAAAGCCCACCCTTTATGCTTCGGCAACACTAGCCTTTCAAATGTACTTCATTCTAATATATGTCTTCTTCTGTGTCTGGAAGAAGTCTCTTTAGTGGTTTATGACTTAGGGCTCACTATAGTGAGTGGGTACAAGCCATCACAACACCTACATATGAACTTGGTACATAAAGAAATGCTATGCATAAAATATGTGACAAATGAGTCAGAGTGAAAATGATGGACTGGCAGAAATTACTTGAGAACATCATCCTGTGATACTTGTGCGTATATGAGCTGTAACAAGGAATGGTCCATTAAATGACACAATGATGAACTTTGTTAAAACTTGCTCTGCAATGTTTAAGACACACGTGGAATGTCTCTTAATCGCCTGGTGTTCTAACAAAGAGCAGTTTGAGATTGCATGGTGTCTCAATGCTGGCCTGAGAATGCTTCATACAAATAAATACATACATAGTTAAACCATCACAGTTTGGATTTGTTTGTTTTTTGTTATAACCATTCATTTTACCTTCAGTGAGACTCATATAGTGTCCCAAACTGCCCGATCTCGTCTGCAGGCCGGTCCTGTCATTGGTTAACTGTGGAATATTACAGTCTGCAAGAGTCTTGGGAGTTGCTACGGACTTTTACTTGACTTTGCTATCCTAGCCGTGCATCTCTACATGATCGCTCCCACACTCAAAGGGCAATGCAGCAACACACTCATTTCCACCTCTTTATCATCTGCGCCTCTTCTCAGTGAGGTTTGGGAACATGGCCGTCCACGTAGAAGTTCCTGGTGACTTTCGGCAAGGTGAACTCAATGCCATCAAGCTCTCGAGTGAGAATGATCTGGCATCCCAGCCGGGAGTTCTCCTGAAGCATGGGCGCCATGTCAAGCATGTCATCCTCCCTAGAGAGCCAACATATCTTTTAGCATTTACAGTGATCTCCCTTTCACCTAATCACACACATTTGTTAAAATTCAAATATCAAAGTGAAGCAAGATATAATCTGTAGCTGACCTACCTCTCATCAGGCTGTGGCAGTTTGTCAAAATGTGCAGCACTCACGTAGACCTGACATGTTGAGCAGGCCAGTGAAGCCTCACAGGCTCCTAAATGAAAGAAGCAGAAATAATGAGCAGGTCTTAAAATCACGCTTCAATTAAATATTTAACTGTAAATGCTCACCTTCCAGATCAACTCCATGCTTGTGAGCCAGATACAGGACGTTGTCTCCCACTTTGGCCTTAATTGGGATCCTCTGGCCAGACCGATCTATATATACCACATTCACCCTAAACAGTTCACAATAATTTAGCTTTATAGAACAACCACACATTTAAGTTTATCTAGTAAGGTTTTGAAAATGTTTCATTCAACCAAGTACTGCTATTCATCAGGGCTGAAATTGTATTACTAATGTGGGTACACATGGTGGTGTTATGGTAAGTGTCGGGCAAAACACAACTCCTGCTCAAACACACCGTGAGAGGATCATGGAGAAATGTGCAGCTTTGTGAGTTGTCGTCCTCTGTCCATAAATAGTCTTTGCAGAGCCTGATGGGTATTGGGGGTAGATTATGTGCATATAAATTACTATTATTATTTTGTAAATAGTAAATGGACTTTACATAGCGCTATTCATCCTTGGTAAGACTGTGTTGCTTCTCATTAACCCACTACTGGGAGCATCCCAGAACCATAGCAACCACATATTTACGGAATATTTTTAATTTTTGCAGATTTTTCTCTCAAATGCTGTGCATGCACACCATGTAGGCTGCTGGTTTAGAGAACCTCCAACTTTTTATTTGGAGTTCATCGTAATATTGAGTATATGATAAGTGTGCAAAAAAAAGCGTGACTAGGCAATAATTTGAACTCTTGTTCCCTGAAAATTAAATGTAGCCTCCTGTGACTTGGACATTCAATGTTTGATCATAATAGGTGTGGATTGATTAACACCAATTGAGAACACCATATCAATTCACAATAAAAGCCTCTAGTCCACTTACACATCATCTGGGTCCTCTGCATTGGAGCTCCCCTCCTCACTGTGGTAAAGACCTTTAATAAAACAGACAGGACAGTGAGTGTTTCTGCCGTCAGCGGTGATACCAGTTCCTCCTCCCTGCTCCGGATGTGGCGGATGTTTGACTTGCTGCATAAAGTTTCATAATCTGGGAATGTTGACGTGAAGTTACACAAGTTTTAGTGAGCGGAAAATGACTTTAATAATTGATGATATCATTCAACCCCCTGCAAGCCAATATTTGCTGGCATCAACAATAACCTAAACGCTGGTACGAGACAAAATTGAACTTCTTACGACTTCTTATCGGACACAGAGTCCGGAGAAAAGAACCAGCCCCTGATTAGGGCTAAAGATGTTAGCAAGCTGCACCACTCACCCATACTCGTCTGCAAGTGTCGGCGTATCGTCCGGAAGTTGTCAACGGAAGCCCTCCTTTGTAAATTAGCCCCGCTACCCACACAGCTCTTCAACCTGTAGAGGGGACATGTGCTACAGTCCGGTATAACTCGAGAAAGTCTGAAAGTCAGTCCCATGCTCGACCGGACTGCAGCGGAGGCCGCCATGATTGTGTTTTGATCACATGGCGGAAAGCGACCAATAGGAAGAGAGCACTGGTAAGGCGCAGTGCTGTGATATACAGCCGTGACAGCAGAGGGCCCTGTTGCTTCACACTCTGCACAGGGACAGATTTGGAAGAATACAAAACCCTTGAATGCATTAAATATCCTCACTATACAGAATGACACCTGTCAGCGTAACTATTATTATATTATTGGATCGTTAATTTGATGCATTAACATGGAAGCAGTTATTCAGTGTTGTAGCTTGTCGAGGTTGAGCCAATTTGAACTTTTCCTCTTACCGTTTTTTTTTTCAGTTGCTAAGATGCAATGATCAAAACTGAGGCCACATTTTCAAAACTCTTCACACAGTCTGCATTACCAACAGTTAAAAAAGCGTGACTAGGCAATAATTTGAACTCTTGTTCCCTGAAAATTAATTAGTAATTTTGAAACAGTTAATCTCAAAAGTCTCTCAAACCACTAAAACACAGTCTCAAAATGAACTCGTTCAACCAAAACACTGGCAAAAATTCTCACTCAGAAAGCATACATTGTCACTCATAACACACTGACCTACACTTTTAAAACTTTTATCTTTGAAGTATGAATGAATTTTTCATATAAATCAGTATTGTATAATACAATACAATTTTTCTCAGTCACTTTTGAACATTTCTCAGGTCTCATTTTAGAATTGAAATTCTCAAAATACTTGTTCAACCTCCACATCATCTAGTCACTTGAGCATATCGTAAAAGCAATTTCTGATTATTCTGAATGAATTGTAATTTTATTTTGCAATTGTCTGCTGTTTCCTACATTATCAATTGCTGATGTCATGTTGATCACAATAGATTATACCCCCCCCCTACGTTCATTTCATTAAATCACTACTTGCACAACGGTTGAACATGTTGTCATAATCTGTCAAGCAAATTTTCTATACATGTTTATTAGACTTTTATAGTAAATGCATCCTACAAACACATTTCCTGCTTTACACTCATGCAGTTTTAAAACCACATTCAATAGACTATATACGTACAGTTCTCTATGCACATAGACGTAAACATTCAATGTATTTAAATGTTAGCTAAGCTTTCCGATATATTTCAGTTAGGCTGCTGCAGAAATGCAGGACATTTGCCATCTTTCTGTTCTGAATGGATTTTTAACAGTTTTGGACACAGCGTGTTAGCATTTGAAGAATATGCTGCAGATATATAGTGTTTCACTGGTGGTGGAGTAGTAATGAGAAGGATTTTGGAGAAAGTGGTCATTGAATGCATTTTGTTTGAAAGCAATGAAAAATGATCCACAGTTTGGTCTACATACGCTTCTGTTTCGCTGACTCATTAAACCAAACTCTGCCAACAGTTCTCACTCAGAAAGCACACACGTGTCACTCATAACACACTAACCATAAAACACTAACAACAGGGAGCATTAGATAAATGATTTTATCTTATACTTTTATCTTTGAAGTTTGAATAAATTTTTTCTGAAACATTTCCTGTAGTTAAATCAGTGTTTAATTTTAGAATAAGTATAACATATATTCACTTTGTAGATTGTAATAAAGTATAATAATAATAATAATGCTTATTTGTAGAGCACTTTTCAAAAACAAGTTACAAAGTGCTTTAACAAGTGTAAAGAATAATACAAAAAAAACAAGAATATATATGTAACAAAATGAATTAGAAATACAAAATACTTTATTTTGTCTATATCATTACATTTAGTAATTTACTTGTGAAAAAAAAAGTTGAAACCAAAAATAAATTCCTAAAACATCAGTGCTGCAGTATAGTTTTTCTCAATTATTTCCATAGTAATGCTGGTATTTAGACACAATGCCCACAAGCTGTAATTCATGCACCAACCCACTGCTAAAATGCAAGCACATTTCCTGCTTTACACTGAGACTGCAGTTCTAAACAACACTTACAGTATTTCAAAACAATACGCACGTCGATGTTAACATAAGATTTACACAAATATTCTGCTAAGATTTTCTATATATTTCACATATCGCGTTACTGAGATACATAGTGTTTCGCAGGTGGTGGAGTAGTAATGAGAGCGGAGTTCATGTTTGTCCACACACAGCTCTTTTTATGACTGTGTGAAGAGTCTTGACAATGTGATTTCAGCTTGGACCGATGTTAGCAATTGAAAAAAAAACTGTAAAAACATCTTCAAAACACAATGATGGCAAATGTCCTGCATTTCTGATTACTTCTTGTTACATACTGTATACTTTCAATAAAGTGAAATGTTATTCTTATTCCGTAATGAAGTACTAATTTTTGTGAAGAATGTCATGTAATGCTCCCTGTTGTCTGTGTGTTATGAGTGACAATGTATGCTTTCTGAGTGAGAACTGTTGCCAGGTTTTTGGTTGAAAGGGTTTATTTTGAGACATGTATGAAGTGTTCTGGTGGTTTGAGTGAGTTTTGGAGGTAAGATTAACTGTTTGACCAAGATGCATGCTGGTATTGCAGACTGTGTGAAGAGTTTTGAAAAAGTAGCTTCAGTTTTGACCGATGCTTGTTAGCAATTGAAAAAAACTTTAATGTACTTTGTTACTTTTCAACACAGCCAACAACATGATTTTGCTTCTATCAGAGTGGCGGTTTTACCTTCAAAGAAGCACTAATGCCAGTAGGTTAGAGGTAGGTTTCCCTCATCTTTTAAAAATCTTTTTGCTGTCTTTAATAAACAAATGCGAAGTGCTGTGCTTAAGTACAACTTTGAGGTACTTGTAGTTGAGTATTTACATTTTCTGTTTCTTCATATGTCTAGTAGTCCACTTCATTGCAGCTGTTCATTATATGAATGTTATAGTCAGTGATTACTTTTTACATGCAAAACATGCTTATAAAATATGATGTATTGTGACAGAGGAATCCATCCAAAAATGTATAAACTATTTGAAGTCAGTTCCACTATGACCATCTAAATATCTAAAATGCTAATTACATGTTAATACATCAATAATAATCCAATAATGTAAACAAATACAGCAATTATAAAGGTACAATTCTGCATAATGAATACTTTTTCCTTCCTAATTTTGCCAACAATAGTTATGGAATTTTATGTGAGTAAAAGTTAAGAAATGTATGTGCAATAAAGTAAAGGATTTGGAAACTACTGCAACATCCTATTTGGCCTGTTACCAGCTGTGAATGAGACGGGGCTGTACTGATCTCTTCTTTCATATTTATATATTTTTTCTTCGTTGCATATTTTTTGTATTCATGGTGGATGTTTTATTCATTGTTGTTCCGACTTATGTCTCTAAACCAAATTGGCCCTTAGGGATAATTAATGTAAGTATCAAAATATATTACCGAACCTCCACTACAGTTATCTTACTTTGCAGTGTCAAATAAGCTCCACCTCAACTTGCATCACTAATAGTATTACAGTATTATAATACATCATTATATGTTATAATCTAACTCATAAATGTAATCAAATCTGAATGTTGGACTTTTATTGTACCTTACTTTACTTAAGCATGCTACATTTGTTACTGTATTTTTATTTCAGTTGCAGCTCTGACAAGCCTAAGCCTGTTCCAGTTATGCCTCTGGTAAAGGAAGCAGGTCTTCCCGTAGAAGTATCAAAATGCAATATTTCATGTTTCCGCAAAGTCCCATTCAGTGTTAAGCTCCATACCAGTATCACACAACAGTGAATACATGTTCTGCCCTGTTTATGTGTGCTGCAGAGGAAGACAAACCCAGATAAAAGGGGAAAGTGATGTGATAAGAAATCTAATGCAGTGGAAAGCTGAGACCACTGGTGTGTGAAGACAGAGAAGTGATGTTATGACTAGAGTCAGGTCAAGTGCTCAGGTGCTCTGTTTTCTCTCTCTTTCCGTACCTCTCTGTCGTTGACATCTGCTTGGAGAGAAAGGAAGTTATTCTAAAAAACATATCTATAATCCCTTTACAGCGTAGTAAAACTCCTACAGCATGTGATTTATAGGCTTTAGTGACTCTATAATGAGTGATGAGCTCTTCCACTGGGATAGCATTATAATTTTTGTTTTTTCTCTTATCTTTCCTTTGGTTTCTCATAATGATCTGTGCTCTGGGGGGAAAGCCACTCTTAAAGTGGGGTTTAAGATATATAGTAACCCTCCATCTGGATCTTTCTACAGAGGTTCCCTCCATGGCCGTTAAAAGGAAATGGGGCATTCTCATGTCTACTTTTTTATTTTAAAATGAGTGCTGGGAGTCAACTGCCTGGCATATAGATTATTACACTTTATATACTCTAAATCCACATAATAAAACACTATTACACTTTCATGTGTACTCTCTCACACGCACACCTGCACAGGATTAGCGTCCAGGGACAGTTTGCCCGTTTGTCTCTGAAGTCTGTGAATTTGTATATCATTGGGCCCTCTTGTCCTCGGGTCCTGCAGGTGTGTGTGTGTGTGTGTGTGTGTGTGTGTGTGTGTGTGTGTGTGGTGGGTGGAGGCTTTTACACTCAACTTGGATATGAAGTGGCCCCTAGCTGTTCCTACAGATTTCACTCCTTTCCTTCCCTGATGACTACACAGTGCAATAACTCATACACCCTGCACACACACACTTATACTTCCTCAAGCTCCTCACACTGAAATACTTTCTTAAGACAGGCATGCAACACACACACACACACACACAAACACACACAGTTCAAATTTTCTAACATACTTGATCACACAGAGCCCAGCAGCAGCAGCATGCGTGGACATTTTAGCAATGATCTAGAGATCTATCTGTATGTCCCCAGAGTACAGTATGTGTATGTGTACTGCTTATGTTTCCAAGGACAGATAAAGCATGGAAATACACCACATTTGCCAGAAGTCCTTAGGGTGCCGTACAATCACTTCCATCAGCGCTCCCATTATAGTTTTTCACTAATTAAACTTTTCCCCAAATTATCAACAGAATTAAGCCTCCATCTGGAATTTGGGAAAAAAGTATCATTTAGGCTTGTCTCAGAATAAC